CGCCGTGGGTGGAAACGTGCAGATTAAGGGGCGGTAATATTATAATGAGATCCCTTTGCCACGTCACCAAGCGAGCGAAATCAGACGCGCTCGTTTATTCAGACGCTTGCAGAAAAAGGCTTACCAAAACAAAGTTACTGGGTTAATCTTTTTCACATTTCCTTAGTTGGTAGATGCGCCGGGGACCTGATTATAGCACTTAAAACCTGGAAAAGTCAGATTTTCAAGATACGTCACCTTAAAAAAATTTGAAATATTCCTGATAAAAAGAAGGCTTGAAATTAAGTTTTTTTTTTTGTTTTTTTTGTCAAAAACATGTTAGCGCTTCACTGAAAAGAGCCCCCCCTCACCTTGTATTTGCCCTGGTCGCCCTGGTCGCGCGTGCTCTCCATGGTGTAGCTGCGCTGGACTCCGATCTCTCTCCACACCACCACTCGCGCCGTGGCCTCTTTGGAGCATTCGACTACAAAACTGCAGCTGGACAGTGGTCCAGCTTAATCCACTGCAGAGTCGTGTCAACGGCAAGCTCTTCAGTCAGCGGAGATCGCGAAGAACGTCGTCATCACTGAAGGAGAAGAAATCTGAATCCTATGGCGAATTGGCTGCTTATATAGCCAGATGACTACACGGGCTTCGCTGCCATAGGTTTGTGCAGTACCACTGCCGAGCCATTGGTTCGTTTTTTAAAAACATACTGCACGAACCAATGGCCGTGCAGTTTCACTGCATGATTGAAAAAGGCTTCAGTTCGGGAGAAAAAAAGGACTTTTTCCCATAGCGTCTAGCAAAGACGCAGTACGAGTGTAGTATCGAAAGGGAACAGTCGGTTAATGTCTATGAAGGTAAACAGCTGGGTTTAAATCGCATGTTTATTTTAGATCTGTGTGGCAGCAGCAATATACATTAAATTAAACAATAAATCCACTGCTCTCTTGTCTCCTCTGAGGCTGGGACTCTAAACAGTGTTCTGTGCTCGTCTGTGCAGCCAAAGACAGAACAGTTAGCATGTTTTGCTCAAACTTTCACCATGGCATTACACCGTGATCGCTTGCGAAACGTGCAGATTAAGGGGCGGTAATATTATAATGAGATCCCTTTGCCACGTCACCAAGCGAGCGAAATCAGACGCGCTCGTTTATTCAGACGCTTGCAGAAAAAGGCTTACCAAAACAAAGTTACTGGGTTAATCTTTTTCACATTTCCTTAGTTGGTAGATGCGCCGGGGACCTGATTATAGCACTTAAAACCTGGAAAAGTCAGATTTTCAAGATACGTCACCTTAAAAAAATTTGAAATATTCCTGATAAAAAGAAGGCTTGAAATTAAGTTTTTTTTTTTGTAAATAAGAACAAAAACATGTTAGCGCTTCACTGAAAAGAGCCCCCCCTCACCTTGTATTTGCCCTGGTCGCAGCCGCACAGCGTGCTCTCCATGGTGTAGCTGCGCTGGACTCCGATCTCTCTCCACACCACCACTCGCGCCGTGGCCTCTTTGGAGCATTCGACTACAAAACTGCAGCTGGACACACTGAACACTGGAGCCATCTGAGACAGCACCTTAGGCAGAGTCTAAAACACATGAAGCACAATGAGCATCTTCAACTTCAGCTAATTTACTTGACGAGATCAACACTGATAAAGAGTAATGTTTTTTTTTTTTTCAGGTTGGTCAATCTATTTATTTATTATTATTATTATTTTTTTTACACAATAATTTTCTACGATCTCTTTGAGCCTTAGAATTAAACAAACGGTTTATGTTGCTGTACTTTTAAAAGATTAATTCACCCAGAAATATAAATTCTGTCATTTACTCGTCCCCATGCCATTCCAAAATCTTATGACCGACTTTAGTCTGTGAAAATAAGATATTTGAATAATGCTTAAGCTGTTTTTGTCTATTTAATATGACCCAAAAATTTTAAACTCCAAAAATGACATAAGTCAAGTCACCTTTATTTCAATAGCGCTTTGAACAATACAAATTGTCCCAAAGCAGCTTCACAAAAACAAACAGGAAAAAAGCAGAATCAATTATGAAAACTCAACTATGGAGACAATAGCTCTAAAAGACAATAGTGTCATTATTTAGCTCAAGTCAGGTCAGTGTTGGTTCAATTCAGTCAGGGCTGCATGATAAATCATATTTCAATCGTGATCACGATTTCTGATTCTCTCGATTTATTAAACATAATCATCTGCGATATTTGCCTTATATTTGCGATATTTGGTTATTTGCCGTTATCTTGCATTAGTAACAAGCCTACACAAGCTTTCATGGTTGCAGATGCCAGATGTTAAGAGTTTAAAATCCCCCAATCAGATCTTTTTTCATAAATCAATATATTTTCCACCCAGTGGTTTACTTAATCTTCCCCAACCTGGCAACCTTGCACACTAGCTCTCTCTACATTACAGAAAAATGCACTGATGAGCTGAAAACACCAGCAAACATGAAAGTTGGAGTTTAGTCATTACTATTGAGATAATCTGCTCAAATAAAAGTGAAATACAGCCAGTCTGTTTTCTTTTACACGGTCATTTGGACTGTTTGCTGCTACTAAACCTGCGAGCAGGTATAGAGGTATCATGAATTCATTACCGTGGGAAGTAGGGCTGCTGGGGGTGCTGCAGCACCCACTGGAGTGTAGCCCACGAAAAAATGGGGGTGCTGGGGGTGTGGTGTTAAAAATAAATGAATGAACAATATGTAATACAAAATAAATAATATTCATTTTATTAATTAGTATATTCATTAAAATTCATTGAAAAAAGTAGCCTAAGCCTATAATGACAAGAAGCAACAGTTAAATATGAGTTAAGTTGAATCAAATTGACTGTGAACGTCGTTTCAACTGATTAAACGTATTAAACTGACTTAAAAAATCATTTGTTGCCATGATTTTTGGATTATATTATAACCTGTAACATGTCTCTGCCGTACAAAAAATTAAGAATTAACAACAATTTCTACAGACAGCAGAGAAAGAGCGAGAGCGTCTACCTCAGCAGCAACAAATCTCGCATTCTCACATCTGTAGCGCTTAGCTTGATCTTTAACGTTAGGTCTTTCCTATTCTTGAAACAAAATTAATTCTTAAGGTTGATTCAATATTACTCTTAATGAAACACACACACACACAACATCAACAATGCTACAATGACAAAGTCGCTTATATTAAACATAAAACTTTTATGAACAGATAAGAACAAATAAGATCAGTGGCATAGCGTCTGGTTATGCAGGGTATGCAGGTGCATATGGGCCCCGGCAGTTTGGGGGCAACGAGGGAACGAATAGAGCCCTGCATGGGCCCGGCCCTTGTCCAACAGCTTTATGAGAATTCTTGGCCTGAGTCTGACTGGATCCCGTGTCTTCTCTCTCTCTCTCTTCCCCATTACACAGCTATTAAAATAGTTCAGTTTTGGTTTTTAATGGCAAAGGGTCATATTTCTTTTTGTTTCTTTATTAAGTTAATGGCCGTGATAGTCGCAGAACACCTAAACACACACAGTTAAGAGAATAACGCCCTGCTGGTGTCATTAAACCATTCTCTCATGTACAGCGTGATGCTCTCTCACCAGAGGAGTTCTTCCTGTAGCTCTGAGGTACTGCAGGAGACTCTTGGCGTGGTAGATGGTGGGGTGCAGCTCGGCATTGGGGCTCTGCCACTGTCTGTTCAGATCCTCCCCACTCAGAGAACAACGATGACTGCAGAGTGAAAACAAAGAAGATTGGAAATATGTGATTACAGATAAAGCGTGTGAAGAATGCTTGATGATTCAAATTTGTTACACATAAACGTTTAAGGCTACAACGTGGCCATAACATTGTTTTCAGATGCTGCATCTGAAGTGGCATTTAAGCATATTTACACAGACAGTTCAGAAGTGGCATGAATGCATTTACACAACAATTACAATTGTATAAATAAGATTAAAGGGTTTTAAACGGGCCTTAATGGGTTTAAATTATTTCTTTTTAAAAATGAAATGATACTCCAAATATACAACTAAAACCACCAGTAGTTGGTATTCAGTCATTCATTCAACCAGTTTGTGCAGCTATTTGTGCAGCTTGTGTGATATTGCTGAACTATATCATTTTGGGCCAGATGTGGTGCATTAAATGAGTTAATAATTTTAACAAGCCATTTTCCCCCCATAAATAATTGCATCACATTAACATCTTAAATTGACAGTCTTAGACATTATATAGTCATAAAATATTAAACCCACTATTTGGAAGTGATGAATGTAAGGGTAAATACTTTAAATCAGTATCATTAACACTACCAAAAACTTCCATTTGCAGAACCAAAATAGAACGTGGAGGTGATTTTTTTTGTTTGTTGACATACTTTCCATTGATGACGCCATCAGGGTTGAGCATGGGGATGATTTTGAAGATGTAGCTCTCTCGTAGACTTTGGGCTTGAGGACTGCAGCTCATGAGAAACTCTAGAGTGCCCTTCATCACCCAGCTAGAGTTAGTCTCTCCAGGATGCACCCGCGCAGACAGAAACACCACTGGACGGCTTTCTACAAACATTCACATTACAGTATAGCTAAGCGTGCCACACCTATTCACAGAGGCTGAAATGACAATCTCATTATTGACAGTTTGCATAAAAGAATGGATGGGAGAGTGCCTGAGTGAGCGCATGCAAGAATCCATAGGAGAGTGCCTCAGTGAGAGCATGCACAGGTGCATGCAAGAATGCATGGGACAGTGCTTGAATGAGCGAATGCGTAGGTGCATGCAAGAACGCATGGGACAGTGCTTGAATGAGCGCATGCGCAGGTGCATGCAAGAACGCATGGGACAGTGCTTGAATGAGTGCATGCGCAGGTACATGCAAGAATGCATGGGAGAGTGCTTGAATGAGCGCATGCGCAGGTGCATGCAAGAACGCATGGGAGAGTGCTTGAATGAGTCTATGCACAGGTGCACTCAAGAATGCATGGGAGAGTGCTTGAATGAGTCTATGCACAGGTGCACTCAAAGTGCATGCCACAGTGCATGACAGTGTATGTGAGAAAGTTCATCAGAAAGAGAGCATGAGAGTGAGTGTTTATGAAAGTGGATGCATGCATGAGGACGTATGTCAGAATTCATGCGAGTATGCATGTGGATGCATGAAAAGTGTTAATGAGCGTGAGCGTGCATGAGGATACATGTAAGAGTGTTCATGAGAGTGAGTGCATGTGAGCGTGCATGACATGTTAATGTTCACGAAACTGGGTGCATGTGAGCCTGCGTGAGAGCGTTCAAGTGAGTGTTCAGGAAAGCAAGTACCTATGAGTGTGTATGCAAGAATGCATGAGAATATACATATGATAGTGTTCATGAGAGTGAGTGCAATTAAGAGGGCATGCTGTTTCTTACCCAATGAACTGATAAGCTATACCGCTATGGCTGTAAGTTTATCAGAGATGTTCTTGTGTGCGTGATACATACTGAACTGGCTGATGTGGTCATTGCTGGAGGATTCTGGCATGGCTGTGATGGTGAGCAGGGGACAGCTGTTTCCTCCCAGCGTTTCACACAGATCATCCTGTCTGTAGTAGATCTGAGCAGTACGCAAAGCACTCAACTTCTGCAGATGCATCTAAACAATCGAGGAACAAAATCAAACAGAATCCTACTTTGCATCCTACTATACAGCGTACAAGATTAGGGTGATGATAATATCATGGTATATTAAAAAATGGCATATGCACTCTGATAGTATCCATTTTCTGAAGTATGCTTACTGGGCTAGCATTGCCATACTAAACGAGCTGTGCACAAAATCACTAGTCCACAGCTCCAACAGTAATACTAAATATTAAGGTAAAAAATGGCTACAGTACATCATAGTATACAATAAACAGTCTATATAGGACACAGCTCTATGCACCAAAACTGGTATACTCTGATGAACTGCACATCAGATGCATCAATTTAGGGAGGGTACATTTGTATAGTACCTTCAGCATTGAGCAGGTGTATGGGTAATGGTAGGCAAAGTAGCAAACATCATCTTTATGCTGAAAGGTCACAGTGAAGGTCAAGGTGAAGTACGATTTGCCCTTTTGACCCCCGGCTGCAATGGAGCTTCGTGAGAAATGATTCCTGGGTAGATAGGAATAGAGGTCAATTTGAATTTTTTTAAATCTTAACTGTATTTCCAATGCACGATAACCCACAAATCAATTTATTTTTAAAAACTAAAATATAATAGTAATGGGACAACATGGAAATGATGGTTCTTACTTGTAGTAACAGATGTCCGATCCTGTTCTAACCCAATGGGGGCTGCCGTTGATGGCGCCCTGTACAGAGTACATGAGCACTTGCATACCTGTCACACCAGAGAAGGAAATCAGAAATCTGACAAACACACTCTCTGAAGTTGAAGTTGGTTAGAGATGGGCTGACCAAGAACATGCAAATAGTGGAATATGGAACAGCAGCACCTAAACATACTCTACGTAAATACGTGCACACAATGGCTTTTAGCTCTAGAACTATTCATAACACTTAGTACTAGGTTACTTAATAATCCAGGTTAATGGCACAGACATGTATATGTGTTTGTGAACTTGAGTCGAGTTTGTTTCTGAACTAATGCTTGAAATGACCCACCATAATTGAATTGGCTGTTGGACTTCTCACAGTTGATTATGTTGAATTGATAACGAACTCCAGGACGCATATTGCCCACCTCGAAATAGAACCACTGGTGGTAGTGATTACTATTGATATCGGAGTTCAAGATCAAGTCATACTCAAACCTACCGACAGAAACAGGCAATACACAGAAATGAAAAAAAAAAAGTAACGGCTTCATTTCATGAAAAGCACATTTATACAACAAAAAAAGCTTATACTTTAATTTTGCACATACTTTCTGACTTGTACTGCTTTCCGTAGGTTTCCAGACTCAAACTTAGAGTTGAACTTCAGAGACTCGCCGTTGTCAATGACTGGACAACTGAAAGAACATTTTTATATCGAAGATTCAAGCGTTTTGAATAACTCAGAAAAACAAAAGACAATAGCCTGGGTGTGTCTGAAACTATAAATATATGTATTTTCCCCCTTTTTTAATTCATAATTCAATTCCTATCCAAAAAAAAAAAAAACTGAAAAGTGGCATTACTGTCAACAGTTAGTGTTTGGCCTGATATATACCTGAGGATATGATTAATTAGTATTGTTTCACATTGTGCAAAATGCAGCTCCATGATAGCAAATGGGTGTTCATTCCAAACAAAAAAGTAAATAAATAGTAAAAAATAAATAAATAAAAAACACAAAAATGTAAATAAAAATAATAAAAACTACAACACTTATTATTTTTAAATATAATTTTGTTTCACATGACTATAAAAATCTAAAATTCTTACCTATAAAAATAAAAAAATTATCTTACCTATATTCCATAAACTACCTTTCATTACTTTTATTTGATTAATATTGATTTTTGAATCAGTTTCCATAACAAAAAATGTGTAATGTTGTAATGTAAATGTGTTGTTGTTACAAAATTATATATTTTAGAAAACTGCAATAAAAATACTTGCCTACCCCTAATGTTAGTTTTTTAAATTAAATATTTGCTTGGTTATGTCTAAGCCCACTTGAATTTGTTTAGCTCATCCTAGCAGGACAGTTTACTTCGGTTTCTTGTGAACACTGACCTCTGATTGTCCAAGTCATACACGACTTTATCGAGGATGTCACTGGAATGAATGAGCCTCTCAATGTCCTGGAAAATCTTCGTTCTGTTGAAAAAGAATGTCTTAAGTGAATAGTTCATTGAAAAATAAAAAATTCTGTCGTTTTGTCAACTTACTTTCAACCATGGAGCACAAAATGAGACATTCTGATAAACCTTCTTTTCCATACAAACCAGGAGCTGTCTATAACTTACTTAATTTGGTCTGATCGTCACACAAAACTCTTCAGAAGATTGGGAATATAGTGATGGGGACAACTTTGATGCTTTTATGGTGTTTTTTAAACGTGACAACCCCTGGCATTTGTTGTATAGAAAAAGAGCAGTGTGAACATTCTGCTGAACATCTCCTTTTGTGTTCCACGGGACAAAAACAAAAAAACACATACAGGTTTGGAATATGGCATAGAACTGCTTTAAATAAGACTTTATTAAATAAGAATAAATAGTTCACACAATAAGACAAAAATGAGAATTAGCTGAATATGTACCATTCAAGATGTACGGTAGATGAGTTTGTTTCTTCATCAGATTTGGCGAAATGTAGCATTACATCACTTGCTCACCAATGAATCCTCTGCAGAGAATGGGTGCCGACAGAATGAGACGCCAAACAGCTGATAAAAACATCACAGTAAGTAATCCACACCACTCCAGTCCATCAGTTAACATCTTGTGAAGTGAAAAGCTGCATGCTTCTAAGAAATAAATTCATCATTAATATTTGTTTAACTTTAAACTGTCACTGCAGCCAAAATATGAGTCCATAATCCATAATAACGCTTCCTCCAGTGAAAAGTCCATCCTCTGTTGTCCTTTTACATCAAAATCCACTGACATATTTGTTCAGAAATGCTTTGCACCGTTTTGGCTTGCAAACGGTGCTTGATCTGAGCATATTTCTCTCCTGATTCAGATAAGACTACTTTTTCACTGAAGACAGCGATATGGATAAGACTCATATTTTAGCCACAAGTAAGGGTTTGAAGTCAAAAACACACAGCTTTTCAGTTCACAAGTCTTTAATTGATGGACTGGAGTGGTGTGGATTACTTGTAGATTATTGTGATGTTTTTATCAGCTGTTTGGACTCTCATTCTGACGGCACCCATTCACTGCAGAGGATCCATTGGTGAGCAAGTGATGTAATGCTACATTTCTCCAAATCTGATGAAGAAACAAACTCATCTACATCTTGGATGGCCTGAGGGTGAGTTATTTTTCAGCAAATTTTCAGTTTTATGTGAACTATTCCTTTAACATTTCAAGTACAGTATTTCACAGCAAAAAGGTAGTAAACCATTTGTGTAGTACCTCTGCACACCATAAACCCTCTCTAGAATGGGCTCGCGGAGGTTGGGAGCCACATGCCCAAAGTAATCTGGATAAGCCACTTCTGTGTAGGCGGGTACTGAGCGGGTGCTCTTCACCATCTCTAAGTAAAGGTCAGGGTCGTGCAGCGGCAGCAGTGCTGCGGTGTCTGGCACTTCCAGCACCGCTTGCTCCCCGCCCTCCTCCTGAGGCCCATCCACAGAGTCTCCATTCACGCCAGCATCTAGAACCAGGCGGCCCAAACTACAGACCAGATCGGGGTCCGCTGTGCCCTCTGGCCTTTTTGATATGGAAATGCTGTCCAGCTCCAGAGGTGATTCATCTGACTTGGGCGTCAGAAGGTCCTCTCGCAGTGGACGTCTGTTTTGAGGCCCCAAGGAGCTCGGCGTGGTGGGAATGATGATGGGACGATGAAGCTCTGAGTTAACGCTTGATGGAGGGTTGATGGATCTGGGGCTTTCAAAGTCATCCTCCTGAGAACAAAACAGAAAGTGATCATCCTTGATGATTAAGAGAGGGACAGTCACGTTACAAAAGTTAAGCTATTATTTAGGACAATAATTTTTGTGTCTGCTATTTTGCAATCAATGGCATTTTTATTGCCTTATTATCATTTAATCAGAAGTGTCCTCACCTCAAAATTCTCACTGAATTCCCGACAGAAATACTCGTAGGCTCTGAGCTCATCGAACGGACGTGTATTCACCTGTATGGGCCGCAGTTTTCTGATATCTGTCTCTATGTCATCATCATTCTGCAATGCATAACAAACATCAATTATAAAATCAGTTTTTTGATTGCTCTTTTACAAATAATCTGAACCACATTTAGGCCTATGAGTAGAAACAGCAGATCATTGTATAGGATTGTGTAAATGCTGTGTGATAGAACACCATCCTGTGGGAACATATGCTTTTAATATTTTCAGTCTTCAATCTTCTCATACTGTGCAACATAGAGTCATAGTTTCATATGCAAGGCTGAACTACATCCTATGTTTTTGATAAGAACTGATAAACAAGTACATGGTGCACCCGGGAACTGGGACGCATGCCAATGCTTGAGCAGGCAGAGAGGGAAATATACGCAGTTGTGATTTCTGTGTTCTTGGCCACTTCTCCTCTTCTCATGGGCCGCTTCTCATGTGACACTTGACTAGTAAGCGACATTAATAAAAGACTCTTCACCTCCACCCCGGACTCCCGGTCTCTTCATTCAGGATCCAACAGTCTCATCAAATCTGGGTTAAAGAATTAGTTAGCAACAGACCGGTATATCTTCCAAACAATGAGCTGGCTGATATTTGGTCATTTAAAAATTATTATAATCAGCCGATAACCGTTTCAGGCTTGGAAGTACTAAAAACTGAAAAAAAAAAGAAAAAAAGTAAGATAAATTGAAATATTAAAAGAAAACTAACAAAAATGACAAAGGCACATAATAAAATAACTAAGTAAGTTTTTTAATTAATTAGTCAAATTAATTACTTTAAATTACTTCAACTAAAATTAACATGAAAACAGAAAATGTAAAAATAAAAGCTAATTCAAAATATTAATAAATACTAATACACTGTATTTGTACTGTACTTCACAAAAAATGCCTAAAAGTTCCTTAAAGAAAATTATATCATTAAATTATATTATTAAGCTATTAAAATTGTATTATTACATTAATCAAAATTGGGGTGAGAAAATGTATACATATTTTATATTTATTTATTTTTAATCATTTGAAAATAAGAGGGATCATGAAAATTGTTATTTTTCATTTAGTATGAAATTAGGCTAATAATAGTAATATTATTATTTAGTATTTCATGAATAAGCTACTTCACAGATGGTTACATACACTCCACAAGATAAATAAAAATTATACAATAAATTTGTATTATTAAGCTATCAAACTGTATTATCACAACAGCACTCCAACCGTTCCACTGTTTGTATCACTCCGCTTGCAGTATTTCTCACAGAAAGTGTCATGGTGGACGCCCAAATCCACTATCATTTTATAAATAATACTGTTTTTGTGTCACAGAATGTAGTTTTAAGAGTTTTTAGGCGAGAATGTACTTGTTAGGACTTCAAATATGCGGTTTCTTAATAAAGATAACGTCTATTTGAAAATAGTTTTAGTTACATTATTCCGCCATTAAATGGCGACAAGAGACTGTTTTTATGAGTGAGTCAGCAGTAAAGACTTTTGTATTGAAAGAGACTGAAACAGGGTTGTAAACAAGGAAGTTATTTTTACTTTCTACAACAGCTTGTAAGACGCAGCCAACAAACACACTGTTCAGCGCTGTCATCAGAAATCACCCTTAACAGATGAAAGGACAGTACGACAAAGATATCGCTTTCCTCAGCGGACATTCAAACTCATGTTTTATTGTGAATATGAGATTGAGCTGAAGAATGAATGCTGGATCAGATGCAGGTAATCACACTCGCTCAGTCAATCTCTCTCTCATAATACTCTACATATAATACAGAGAGCTTTTAATACAGTGATACAACAAGCTTTCAATGAAGCAACTCAACGTTCCTTCGTTACTAAAGTTCTAAAGTGACGTTTTCGAATTAGTAACGGATCTTGAGCTCAGCTGTTAAACTGTCAAACTGAGATTTGAATCTGTGGCGGAAGGAAGTAGTTCTGCACAAAAGAGCGTTTTAAAAGACACTCCGTTGTTGTTTTTCTTATGTATTTACACACTTGTGCCGTCGAACTGTTGTATAAACACAATATCACACTCGTAGCCATGTAATACGGCTGTATATCAGCACGCTGTGATTACCTGCGGCCGAATCACAGCCGTTCTGATATTACTCAAACATGTCCCTTGAGATTCACCAATATAAAATCATTATATTGGCCATCAGTCATCCTGTCCTGTAGATGTTGGTCGGCTGACCACTAGAATTTTAGTGAAGTTTAATGAGATCATAATACCTGTGTTTTGTGACCGGTTTCGTCCTCCTCATATTCCGTGTCATTTTCTGTGTCGACCTCCGTGGCTTCATTCTCATCAACTACATCATCCACTAACACCGAAGACAGAGATCCGTTACCACTCACGTCAAACATCACTGACAACCAACATTTAATACCAGTTTCTAACACTGCGTACAAAGAAGTGAGTGGGGGGGACATGAAACAGAATTTGCAACCAATTTTACTTCTGTAAGGAGACATAAATAAGTGTGTTTTACCTCCAGGCGGCTGGTTGTACAGCTGCGCCACTGGTCCACCAGCTGGTATGTGTGGTAGCAGGTGGTGAAAGACACTTTTAATAGTAGGCAGTGGTAGGCGGTTCTTTGGAAAGCACTTCCTCATAATTAGGCTGGAGGTATTGACCAGTGGATCCAGTGTCCGGACAGGCAGGCACTCCTGAAACACATCACAGTTATATCACTTTATACTGTATACTTCCATGAGAGTAAAAATGAAATACAATTTTATCCAACACTTTCATACAGTGGATGTGTTGTAAAGGATCCTCATCCCATTGGCATCAATTAAGGCCTTCCTGCCAAGCTTAATGTTAGTGAGGTTTTTGATGCATCCCAGAATGCTCTTGCGGATGACCACATGGCAGTGGCGTGTATCATTGCGGTGCCAATCTTGGTAGATTGCGAGTAGCGTGGGAAGGTATCCTCTGTCCACTGCCCGACAGGCATTCATTCCTGAAGAGCACACTCACAAGAGAGCTGTGATAGATGGCACTAACTGAGCTGCAACAACATGTGTTGTACTAGCTGTATATATACTGTATATACTGTACCGTTAAAAAATGCTGGGGGTCGGTACGTTTTTTTTTTGTTTATGCTCTATATTTAAACATATTTTAAAATGTAATTTTTTCCTGTGATGTAAAGCTGAATTTTCAGCATCATTCCTCCAGTCTTCAGTGTCACATGATCCTTCAGAAATCACTATAATATGCTGATTTGCTGCTCAAGAAACATTTCTGATTATCTTGAAACAGTTGTACTGCTTCATATTTTTGTGGAAACCGTGATACAGCTTATTTCAGGATTTTTTGATGAATAGAATGTTTAAAAGAACAGAAATAATTTGAAATAGAAATGTTATTTTACGACGTGAAAGCCTTTACTGTCAATTTTGATCAATTTAATGTATTCTTGCTGAATAAAAATATTAAATACTGACCCCAAACATATATAGAATATATAACAGTAATATTTAATATAAATATAAATAAATAATAAAATAAATAAATATAATATTATATTATAATAAATAAATAAAATATAATATATAACTCATGAATTTTGTATAAAAAGGTAATTCATTCTTAATTCTTGACAAATAAATAAGGAAGATAAAGGGGTAAAAATATGCCCAATAATATAATACTTGGAATATTTCCAAAAATCAATAGTAAAACAATAATACATTTTATTTGTATGGACATTAAGACACTATTTTCATTCTAATTAAGCACTATATCCATGTATATTTTCATTGCCATAATGTATCTTTATGATTGATTGATTTTTTTTTTTCATTTGTGTGTGTGTGTTATTCCCATTATTCTTATTACTGTAATAAGAATAATGGGAATAAACAGTGCCTAAATTAAAAGTAGTACAACAAACTACCCTGATTTCATCACCCTTACAATTTAAATAACACAATTTATATTTGTATGTCTTTCTTTGTATTTTGGTCATATTAACTTGTTCTTGACAGGCTGTGTGACAATCATCCAAGCAGGCATCTTACCAGACTTCAGTAATGCCGCCAGTGTGTCCAAAGCCACCCTGTTTTGGAAAAGACCAAATGAATTAATCGAATCAATCAAACAAATAAAGAAAAAACAACAACAAGTGAATCACATTTTTTGTCGTCACCACATATTTGGTGACCAGTACCATTCTTGTAACAATTATATGTTTCTCAGATCTGGTAAACATGAACACACATGACATACTTCAGCAGAGTGGTGCTCTTTTTGCCGAAGGGTCCGATGATTTCGAACATGATCTCCAAAGCGCCACTCTTTCCCAGCGACACTGCATTTACCACTACAAGAAAAGACAATTTCACGAATGCCTCGCTGTAGTGATGCACTAAAGACACGTAATCCTTATTGTAAATGCACTACAGAGCACATAAAGTGAGTGAACGTACAGTTGCTTGAGTAGACCCGAAGCACCTGAAGGCACGGCAGCAACAGCTTGTAGTTCTGCAGATTATGCTTCACTAGATTCAAAGTCACATTCAGAGCCCCGTTCAGATGCGCTTTTACGCCAAACTTCCTGTCTGAAGAGGAAGTGATGTCACTGGGAACTGTTCATTTGTCCACAGATTCAAACAGATGAAAAGATAAATCTATATTCACAAGAAAATGTTTGGATTGTACCAAATCTAGTGTTTGGCAAAGCTAAATCAAGAGTAGTTCTGGTGTCCTCGTACCTTTGAGGCCGACTTTGCTCAGTAGAGAGTGAATGTGAAGCATTAGTTCCTCATTGGCCGGAGGGTCTTTGCTGGAGCTCACCAGCAGCTGCAGCAGAATGGCTGTTCCTCCTTTAGACACAAACACCCCGGTCCTGCGGCCTCCACCTAAACAAACACAGCAGCAAGATCACGCCTGCTTTCATATTTTCACATTTCATTTGAATTTGAATTTTATTTAAAGTTTTTGTATTTTATGTAATTTGTATTATTTTTATATTTCTATTCAGCTTTAATTTTCTTTCTTTATATCAGTTTTAGTCATTTTTAATTTTTAGTTTAGTTTGAATTTTTTTTAAGTTTAACCCCGCAAAGCCTGACATATGAAATAATCTAACAAAAATCATATTTTTTGAAATGGAAAAGTGTTTTGAACCTTTAGACAAAATACAAACAAACAAAAACAAAACAAGCAAACAGATAAATGTGTTTTTGTCGAGTATCATATTTAATACATCAGGCGTTTATGGCTCATAAAGTATGATATAGTAAAAATAAAGGGCTCAGACTTGAGGTGGTTAAAAAAAACACCTCAGTTTTATTCAGAGGCCCAAACTGAGCAAAATATACAATTCGGTGCAGTTGCTGATATTTATATGACCAAAAATTAAGAAATTCTGATAGCTTGTAATTTAAATCAATGAAATCTTTATAACAGTATAGCAGATTATTTACTGTACATACAGTACATGCATAACTATCAGTCACTCTATATCTCCCAATAATATGTCTTAGTAAGATGATATTCAAATGCTTAGTTTTATGATCAAAGCTCTATAGTTTTTATTGTGGGGCAAAACATTCAATGCAACGCAATTCAATGATGACTGAGAAATAAAACAAATAAATGACCCTCAAGAGCCTGATGATCATATTTAAAACAATTTTTTCCAAAAAAACCCCAAAAAACTGATGAATATGTATAATCAAGTAAATCTAAGCTGCTTTAGTACAGTAAGTGTTTTTGAAATATTACTACCAATATAAAAGTTAATGGTATAAATTGTGTATTTGATCATGATGGTAAGAGGCCTTAGAATTTTGGGTATCAAATGATACAGGATGCTTTTCAGGGTTAAGTTTGGCATCTAATATTAACATAATAGTTGTATTATTATAACAGCTGTTTATTAGTACTTAAAGCAAATGAATTAATTCATAGTTAATTCAATAGTTTATTGAAGCAAAAGTCATAGTTAATGGTTTGTTAATAGTGAGAATTGGACCTTAACATATAGCGTGACCAATATTTGATTTAATTCTATTTTTTCAGCTTTATTTCAATGAACAAAAACAAATTATAACAGTTTTAGTCAACAATAACAACACTGAAACTCACCCACAGTCAACAGTTCATTCAAGATAGCGAGGATATTGAGAGTGGTCTGCATGTCCTGTGTATTCTGGAGAAAAAACAAGTGGATTAGCAGCTGAAAAGCACTTCAACTTGAGCTGCGATGAAACGGATGTGATTAAAGTCATCAGTACCTCCAGAGACGACAGAATGACCTCCATCCCGCCAGAGCCTTTAGATGTCACCTCCCTACAGGTCTTCTCTGAAACATGACCAAACATACTCTTAACACACCACCCATGATTCAACTGGTGTGTTTCAATTACAATAATCAAAAACACATTCCAACAATAAAGGGGCATAATCTATGATGACTATAGATCTGTTTATCCATATTTTCTCATAACTGATCATTTGATGGCTTTATTGATTTCTCATATTATTGTTGAGTACCACAACTGGGCCCCTATACATCAAAGTATAGGAACAAGTCATGTTAACTTAATTAACCCTGCTCAGTGACTAGTTTATTCGTTTGAACTGGTGACCTTCAGATGACTAGACCACTAAACTACCACCATACAGTAGGACTTGCATTTTAGGTTCAATTCAGTGAGAAGTTTAGCATTATGTGTTTTTATTTTGTCCTGAAACATTTTACACATTTAAAATCCAGTAGCCATGTAGCATTCAAGAAATGTCTCCTTGGCAGAGAGCTGAGAACATAAGCGGTAAAGAGCCTTTTATGACACAGGCCTTGAATAACTGAAATGTTTTAGAATGGCATTCGGCCAACAGAGGTGTGTGTGTGTGTGTCTGTGTGTGCGTTTGTGTGTCTGTGTGTGTGTGTGTGCGTGTGTGTCTGTGTGTCTGTGTGCGTGTGTGTGCGTGTGTGTCTGTGTGCGTGTGTGTCTGTCTGTGTCTGTGTCTGTGTGTGTGTCTGTGTGTGTGCGTGTCTGTGTCTGTGTGTGTGTGTGTGTGTCTGTGTGTGAGGATCTGCCTCAGTAACAGCTGAATCATAATTTTGCATTATCGGTAGCCTATTAGTAGCCTAATTCAGGCTATATGGAGGCCTAAATAAAATATTAAAAATAATTCTATGCTTAGATCTCCTGAACAAAATGAATACTTTAATTACGGGGGTTTCATTAAATTGATAAAAAGTGACAGTAAATACATTTATCTTTTTTTTAAAGCAGTTTCTATATAAATATGAAGCAGAACAACTTTTTTCAACATTAATACTACTACTACTACTAATAATAAATATTTATTGAGCAGCAAATCAGCATATTAGAATTAGATATATTATATTAGGATCAGAAATTTTTAAACTTATTCAAATGGAAAACAGTTATTTTAAATTGTAATATTTCACAATATTACTTTATAATCAACATTTTTTTTTCAAAAGGTGAGACATCCCATTTTGGTGTTTGCATCAAATTTTATTTACATAAGTGATTTTATATACATAGAAAGCATATTAAATGCAACTAAAGTGTCTATTTTTAATTTTGAAATAACTTTTGTGAAAATAAAATGTCAAAATATGGGTGAAATAATGCTCCATATTCATTCAGCGTAACACATATATTTATGCAAACATACTTATTCTGACCTGTACTTATTAAAATATATAAAAGAAAAAGTACTCATACTAAATTTGATTATATTTTAAATTATTAAAACTTCTTGTTGACAAAAGGGTAAAACCTAGTGGTTAAGGATATTGGAAAGATTGGTAAAATGGCAATGCATTAGTTTTTGGGGGGCTGCACTGTGATCCTTAAATAGAGTCTTTTAATGATTCTTGTTCTAAATATGCCTGACAAGATTTTTTTGGTATATAAACTATTGTTACACTGAATTACATTTTTTTCTGTAAATCATGGTAAAAATAGTCATTAGTCAATAGTCATTAATGTGCGAAAAAAATAAAGCTGTATTAAACTTTTATTGTTCTGATGAAAATCTCTTTGAGAGAGAGAGAGAGAGAGAGAGAGAGAGAGAGAGAGAGACCTCTAGGCTAAACCTTTGACAAAAATATTGACGTATGTTGACAGGTCCTAAAAATAGAGCACAAAGTGCGATAGAAGCATCTGTAAACTCAACATGTCTTTAGTGACAGACTAAAGACCACACAGTCACGTTAAAAAACAACTTGAGAAACATCACAAGAAATAAAGCAGTCAAGAACATTATAACCCTGCGCTGGAACTTCTATAATCAACACCTCGTGAAGAGTAAGAAGTTTGGCTGCCGTTAAATATCATCGAGTGTGCTTGAGTCATGCATGCCAAGATCCCTCTTAAATGACAGAGAGACACAGCCGCTCCATCTACTATTAACAGCAAACAAACTTGGTACATATCCCAGCATGGATGTACACACACACACACATAAATAAAAAGTGCTGTGCCAATCAGAAAGTGGTGACACGGCAGAAGGCTGGACAGTACACATCAGGCTGAGGCAGCGCATGCTTTCAATCACTCTCAACTCTCCAATGGACACGGAGTAACCGCAGAGATCAGAAAAAACCTGAACGCATTTCAAAACGGAGCCAAGTATAGACTAACAAGATCAGCCCCAACTAAATGGCAAGAACATGCTAAGAAATTTCAAACGAAACTTTTCTTTTTTGATCTTTAATTCATTTAATTGCCCCGAGTTCATAAATTAATTAAAATGTAACATTTATGCAACCGGAAGTACTGTTTTGCTTTCTTTATCTGCTTTAGAATTGAACTGAAAAAATAAATGTTATTCATATTTTTTTTAGTTATTAATAAAAAAAAAATAAAAA